ACTATTGGCGTAAGCCGGATAGCCAGAAATTATACTCTTTTTTAAATTTCTCTGGCCATAAAAACAGCGCGGTTGTGTGCAGGCAAGCGGGCTGTGCTGCCAACTCGTTGGCTGCTAAATGCACGTCTGCAGTAGCCTTCTTTGAGGGGACTGACAGGACGAAACATTTCAACGGCGGTCCGGCCGCAGCGAGACCCAGCCGCTTTTCCTGGTATATAGCGCTTTCACAGTTGAGGATTAACTTTTTAAGTCACAACAACAGGATTAACCCACGACAGAACATTTATGTTTCCAAGAGATATTACCGCTGTCTGTCGTTGAAACAATGGAGGATGGTGTGTACAGATCACCGAGGGCGGGATCAATGCCACAACAACACTGTCAATCAAACCCCTTGCTCAATTCTACGTCACAAAGAGCTGGATCTCAGAACAGCTCGTTCTGAGGCAGTGCATATGATTTATTGAGATTGTAAAAAAAACCACTGGGTGGATTTTTATCGTTCTAGGGGGTTTTTTCCATAATAGGTGCCCTTTAAGTGTGAAAAACAAGCAAAATGAATGGATTTTTAATATCAGTCTCATACGGGATTTCAGCAAAAATATAAAAACACTAGCTACTGTATCAGACAAATATTTCATCAAAGATTGTTTTACCTCAGGTCCTCGATCTCTTTGATGTAATTCTGAATCATATTTCCAATCTCCTCACTGCCTTCACCTGAAATAAATAGTCAATATTCGGTCAATCATCTTCCAAGGTCCTTTGATTGATGTAACCTGACACGAGCAGCACTGACAGTGATGTACCTGCTCTGGAGAGCACCTGATTGGCCCGTTCGCTGAGCAGCTGCGTGAGTCGAGCGCCCTGAGCGTCGATGGCCTCCTGCATGGCCTTCACGCGCATGCGCAGATTATTGTTCTCGATCTGCAACATCGAGTTCTCGTGGAACATGTCATTGATGCTCTCCATCCCATCCTCTCCAACCATACGCTTCCCCTGCGAAACAGACACCTTACCTTTAGTGCTGCTTAACATTCTTAACCCTTAACTGTCACCGTCCCGGTCCCGGGACACCTAAATTTACTTCACTATATTTCTATTAAATCCTAATCTAATTATGACAAATTATATATCGTTGGAAAGGATATCACTTCTAAATTGATATTCTACCCCTGTTTTGTGTTAAAAATTATGTAGGAAGAGTAATTGACGAATTTATGACAAGAGTGCACCTCAAAAAAATCTGCATCATAACAGGAGTTTTGACCTTTGTCACAAAAAGTTGATGCACCCACTTTTAATCATTGAAACTTCTATTTTTATGCTAAAAGTTCATAGTAAAACATATAATCTAGTATTTTTCAATAAAAAATAAAAAATTATACTATAATATTATCCTCTAAAAATGATCATATTTATATTTATTATCCTCTAAAATATAGTATTATTTTTTTATCGCCTTTTTTATTATATCACATATTTTAGTAGTTGTCATAAATTAGGTATCATTTGAAAGCTTATAAACTCAGAATTCATCGTGTGAAAACTGTTTTATAATTGAACGTTGCGTTACCATAGAAACGGTACTTGTTTTATCAGGCTCCTCCCCTTTTGGGCGTCATTATATTTCATAATATATGATCAAAACCTTTTCTAATCTTGACAAAATTGATATTGTCAGAAAGGTCAGAGTCTCAAGGTTCCACATTTTGTGACAGACTTGATATTTGGACAGAAATGTATTAATTTGTTAAGGCAGAATGTATACAACTAAATTCAATGGAATTCAATGGCACCCGGTGGCTATTTTTGGTACTACGCCTAAACAAAATCTCATGGGAACTTCAATTTTTGTGATATCAACTTCAAATTTGGAACATAACTTGATAAGATTTATGGCTTTGATTTTATAGAAATTTTAGAGTAAAAAATATTTTGTAAAATATATATTTGATATAAAATAAAAATATATAGTACAGTATATTTGATTTACTGTAAATTTAAACTTCCATAACTTTTTCATACTTTCATTTTTTGAAGTGTTTTCACAACACTCATTTTCAAAAAAGGGGGTGACAGCTAAGGGGTTAATATACCAATAATAACTGAGCAGCAAATCATCATATTAGAATGATTTCTGAAGGATCATGTGACACTGAAGACTGGAGTAATGATGCTGAAAATTCATTGACCATAGGAATAAATTACACTTTAAAATATATTCACATATTTTAAATTTCAATAATAATATTTCATTACAACATAACTGTTGTTTACTGTAATTCCAATATAAATGCAGCCTTGGTGAGCAGAAGAGACTTCTTTCAAAACATTAAAAAATGACCTTGCATTGTTTTTCGTTCTATTGCTCATGTCTCATATTTTTTAATGCAAAACATGCTTTTGCCAATAACACAACCAAGAGTTGCCTCTTCAAGTGACATTAAGTGGTGAGTAAATTTGAAGATTTAAAAAAAATAAAATTAAACAATCAAATTATTACCCAATTATTAATTTGGGCTCCTGTAACTAGTCATTCTTCAAAAGGGCTGTTTGCAGTAGTATGGTAGCTTATAAACGCATATTTGCTTTGCAAAGAACTGAAATAAACCTGACCACCCTGACTCCAGGAATTACGCAGAAGCCAGCCAATCAGATCGCTTGTGAATCTGTAAACTTATTTCCATTTTTGAGTGTGATATACCTCTGATAGTCCAATCTCTACAGAATCTGGGTCACCCGTACTTTCAACTGAACATGAAAACTCTGTTTTAGTAGGTCAGATCTTTATCCACCTTTATTTTGAGAATACTCTGAAGACAACACGCCACAATTGAGTCCAACTGACGGAAACCTTTCTCAGAAGCAGCGTTGAGTGAGTGCCAGCCTCACCGTTCTGTACTCCATGAGCTCCATCTGCAGCCGGGCGATCTCCGTCCTGAGAGCACTGATCTGCTGGCTGGCCTTGTCTTGGTTCACCACCACCCTGTTCTTGATGTTGCGAGCTCTATTGGCGTACTTCAGCGTGTTCAGCGTCTCCATGAAGTCCTGATCCGATGGGCTGATGCAGGCGATCATCATCGTTCGACTGAGAGACCAGAGAAAACCTCCAGCTTTATTCATTTCCTCACACTGCCTAACGCTACAGTGTCAATTCTCAAGTAAATGCTCTGATGTTGACACATTGCTATTATCCTGTTATAACTATGTAATTATCTTGTTGTTATGCGGTTGCTACACATTTGTATGCTGTTCATGAGAAATACTGTAAATTAGTACAAACCAAAGGAAACCAACTGAATAAAAAGTCATACCAATCCTTTGACTGAAGTTGTTATTCAGTGATGTATTGAAATATTCACTGAAATCAAATATGGTGCCAGTTTGTTTAGGTTCTACGTCAGTGGCATTTAGTCAAGAGAAATGCAAGAACAAATTTTGATGATGTCCTTGATGTCCAATCTGACATTATGTTCTGTTAAATGGCTACATATTTGATTTGAAAGCGACATCCACAGGTAGGTAAGATTATCAGTGATTTATCCTTTCAATTTTAGTCTGCTTCTCACACAAAGCTATTGTACGACTTCAGTAGATTTAGAATATACTACAGTGCATATAGGGGACACGGACTACTTTTTTGCTTTTTAGATCTCGACAAAATTTGTTATTTACAAATGATCAGTGTATAAAAAAAAATTCTTTAAAATTACTTAAAAAAAAAAAAAAAAAACGCCATTCTGGTTTAAGGCGAGACACTAAAAGTGAATAGGGTAGCAGATATCACCATGAAACTTTCCCAGTTGATTACATAGATTAAGACAAGTTTTCTGTAATATAATGTTTAAATATGCAAATCAGGCATTATCTAATTAAATATGCACTAATTTGCATGTATTGTAAAAAAAACCTAAATCTGAGTATTGGGTAAAGCTAGGTTCAAAATTCTTTTTTCATTGTGTTCACATATTAGATGAGAAAAAATTACAGAGGGATTTATGGATATGTACTTTTGTTATCCTGTAAATCAGAATATAATACCAATTGCCTTAAAAAAAATATTTTCGCAATGTTTTTTGTAATAAAATGTTATATAAATCAGGCTAGGAATAATATATTTAAAAAATCCCTCTGGTAAATGTCTTCATAATATAACTAGGTACTAGACTGGAGAGTTAGGTGTATATAGGTGCTACTGAAGAGGAGATTTCGGACTTGGAGTATGAGAGAAAACTGGCCTTGAAGATTTAGCATCAGCCAATGAGATCGCGCATTTAGAGTTAAATCCCCCCTTTTACTTTCACGATCCGTTGCTGATAAAAAGGAAAAGATCATATTTGGATCCGACAGCGTTGTGCAGGAGAAAGAGAGCTTTCTAACTGTGTGTGTGTGATGACGGTGCAGATCGCGATTTATCGATTTATAACGACAACTTTTGAAGAATTTAAAAAGTTAACAGACAAAGTGTAGTAAAATAAAGACCTAAATGTGTATTTTGGACTTTTTCCACCACAAGTCTGAAAGAAGACATGTTCTTGAAGACAAATATCCCAAAATCCCAAAATTGACCAGTGAAAAAAAAAAAACGATGTTTTTGCCTGCCGTGTCTCGCCTTAAAACCAAATGAGGGTGAGAAAAAAGTGCCAGAATCGAATAAAAATTTGTGCTGAGTTCAGAAATGTTGACACCGACCTGTTTCCACCCAGTGAATCCTGCAGAAGGCGAGTGAGTTTGGAGTCTCGGTAAGGCACATGCGTCGATCGTTTGCTTCGGTCTCCTAAAGCACTGATGACGTTCCCCAACGCCAGCTAGATCACAGCAAGGAAAGAGCAGACGGTAATATTATAGCTCACCTTATGGTAAATACTTCTAGCCTGAAGATCTGTTTTCATTGCTGAATAATATTACTCGTTCTGACCAATCCACAGTTAATGGAGATGCCCTCTTTGGCTCGGTCCCCGGTGGCCCCCGTCCTCTTGAGTCGCTCCGACCCGGCCAGATCCACGAAGTGAAACTTGGCTGTGAGAGTTTCGAACTCTTCCATCTCAGACGAGCTGTTGGCCAGCCGATTGTCTGTCTCATTGTCCTGCTCTGGGGGCTGAAAACAAAAGAAGAATAAAGACATCAACATAGACTACAGATGGAATGTGTTCAAAAACGGCATTTTTCTACTCAACATGGCAAGCCGTCATTTAGATAAAAGAGCCTGATCTTTTTCCAGAAGAAGCTACATATGCGGTAGATTTTACATTTTATTGTTGATTGGACATGTTATTGAAACATCATTTTGCTAAACAGTTTGGATTTTGTTTTCCTCTGTTCACGTAGAGTAGTGTTCATCTGATATCGCCAAAACCAATATATTGGCTCATATTTGGAAGCGTGACTTTTAGCACACCAGGAGCATGAAATTGTCCAGCAATGAGGAAACACAAAAGCCAAATTCCCCTTAAAGGAGTTGTTCACTTTAAAAAAAAAAAAAAAAAAAAAACTTTTGCTGATAATTTACTCACGTCATGTCATCCGATATGTCCACGTCTTTCTTTCTTCAGTCGAAAAGAAATTAAGGTTTTTGATGAAAACATTCCAGGATTTTCTCCATATAATGGACTTTAATGGGAACCAAACGGTTCAAGGTTCAAAAGACAGTTTCAGTGCAAACTACAAACTGTTCAAAGGGCTTTAAACGATTCCAGACGATGAATAAGGGTCTTATCAAGCGAAACGATCGCTCATTTAAAAATAAATAACAAAGTTTAAGTTTTATAAGCTCAAATGCTCGCCTTGCTCTGTTCGGCGTGTTTGTGACTATCCTTTTCGAACTTGAAACTTGAAAACATCAAAATGAACGAATCTTTTCCAGAGTCAACTCGTTCATTTTGTTCATTGAATGCACCAAATGACTCTGAAAAAGATTTGTTCATTTTGATAAACGAGTTCGAACAGGAGAGTCACGAACGCGCATCACAGAACAGAGCAAGGCGAGCATTTGTGCTTATAAAACTTAAATTTTGTTATTTATTTTTAAATGAGCGATCGTTTCACTTGACAAGACTCTTATTCATCGTCTGGAATCGTTTAAAGCCCTTTGAACAGTTTGCACTGAAACTCTCTTTTGGACCTTGAATTGGTTCCCATTGAAGTCCATTATATGGAAAATTATATGGATGAAAACCTGGAATGTTTTCATCAAAAACCTTAATTTCCTTTCGACTGAAGAAAGAAAGACGTGGACATCTTGGATGATATGGGGGTGAGTAAATTATCAGCAAACGTTTTTTTTAAAAGTGAACTACTCCTTTAATCATCCATCACAATGAGCAAAACCAAAGACTATACATCTCATGTGCAGAAAAAGAGTGTTCAGCTTCACAAAATAGAAAATGTCTGTAAGAAAATGGTCAATCCCCATTTTGACCATCAGGAGGAATCAATAATTAACAAGTTCCAATCAACTAAATATTTTACGAATCTGCCAGGAAGAGGACGAGTGTCTATATGGTCTTAATGAACGGTGAGGAGGAGTTGGAGAGGCCAAAGACTCTTCAAGGATCACAGATGGAGAATTGCAGAGATTAGTTGAGTCTTGGGGTCAGAAAGCCAAAAAAAAAAAAAAAATCTATTCAAACCGTACATCCCAACATGTTGTTTGAGAGTGTTTCAAGAAAAATCCTCCTCGCTAATCCAAAAACACACTTAGTAGTCAGACACGACTGGAACTTCAAACGGGACATTTCTGCCACAAATGCACCAGCTAATCATTTAGTAAATAAGGAAATAAACAGCCTGAAATATAATTGTAAGGGTCGGTGATAGAAGCAATACATTGCATGATATAATTTTATTTGAAAGGAAAAAATATATAAATAATAATTTAATCAAATTTTTAAATGTGTATAAAGAATACACATTTTATGAAATAAAAAAAAAAAGTCTTTTTAACTGGAGGTGGTACTTACATTTTCCGCGGGTGCACAAACACGCACTTGGCAGACGTGAATGGTGAAGATGGCGTGAGATCGAGAGCTCTGTACGTTCATCTGAGTGCTGGCAGTGGTGCGGGAGAGAGCGCCCAGCTTCAGACACTGGATCATCTACAGCACAACATTACACTCATATTATGCACAATATATGGACCGAATATCTCCGAAAATAATCAACGCGGCTCACTTCTGCCTCTGAGGAGACGTTGCGAGTCGTCACGCCTACGGTGTAGATGCTGCCGCTGGCGTCCTCGTGGATCTTAATATGAGATTTCTGCTTCCTCATCTCCATGTCACGCGTGGTGTCGAAAAGATCCAACACCTCCTCGTTATACAGCTGAAGACACACATGGAGAGAGAAGACCGACCATACAACATTTATAACACAATTTATATAATTAAACTGTTTTTTATTGGTAATCTCCCTTAAATAATCCATAACTATTAGAGCCTGACCGATAAAGGGTTTTGAAGGTTGATACTGATACAAATATTTTTTTGGTTTTAAAATCCGATATTCCGATATATCGGCCGATATATATATATTTTTTTTTATTTCAGAAACGCGCAACAAAACATTAACAGATTTCCCTAACATTAGTTATTTGTAGTTATGTATGAGTTTTAAATAAAATAATATGAATGAATTTTAAAAAGAAACTTGTATCTTGTATTGTCACAACAGAACACACTGATGATAGCGCATTAGCTAGCTTTATGGTTAGCTAGTCTATGATGAGCCATAATTTAGCAATAGATATCATATCGTCATACTGCAAATTGTAAAACATACATTTTCAATATTACAGGCCAAGGAGAGATGATGCGTCTCACTGCTATAACTGTCACGCGCTATTAAAGAAATACTTCAGTCACATTGTCAAAAGTTAAAAGGACAGTCAGTCAACTACACTGTAACAACGTAACGTAACTATTACTAGCTAATTCCGCTTCACTCTTCACTTTGTCCTGCTTATTTGAGTTATGAGAACTGATGGGGATGTTCTTTTAATTGTTATTCAAGCAAATGTATGTATCGTGACCAACTCAACGAGCGTTGCCAACAGGGACCGTGTAGAGTGCCCTCTGGTGGAGAAACTACACAACTCCAACACTCATGACACGGTTCAAGCGTGTTTCGTCCGTTTTTATTTTATTTTGAAATATTCATCGCCGATGAATATTTCAAAATAAAATAAAAATGAATCATCGGCCATTACAACTGCCGATACCGATAGTTTGGAAAATGCCGATATTATGCCGACATTTCGGTCTGGCTCTAATAACTATCATATACCACCTTTTCCAACAGTCTATTACTTTAATAGTATTGATATTCTTTTATTTTTATATTTTGTTTTTACTAGGGTTGGGTATCGTTTGAATTTGAACGATTCTGATTCCGATTCCGATTCCTTGTTTCGATTCCGGTTCCTAACGATTCTCGATTCTGATTCTTTTAAGAGGCAGGGTCAAAAAAAGTTTAGCTAACCTTGCTAACCAACGGTCTTTCTGAAGGAAATACTCCTTCTGTAAAAATACTCCTTTTGTCACAAATTTTGCATTTTGCCGAGATTTCGTTATTTTTAGAAAAGTGAAGCCACACTTTGGACCGCCGACGTAAGCTACTCATGTTCGACTCGCGCGGTTATGCCAACACTTCCGGTAGACGCTTCTTCGTTGGTGTTGTTCAGCGGTTTCTTCTTCCGCTCGGCGGACTGTGAATATCGGAACTAGGAATCGAAATTCTAACTTTTGAACGATTCCGGGAAAAACGAAAAGTTAGTCTCGGTTCCAATCGATACTCCATTCTCGATACCCAACCCTAGTTTTTACTTTAATCTTACTTTTAGTCAATTTGTTATGCGATTGTCATTTTTAGGGCCCAAGCCCTGAAAGGGCGAAGGCCCTATTGTTTTCCTTGGGATTATTAGGGCCCAAGCCCTGAAAGGGCGAAGGCCCTATTGTTTTCCTTGGGATTATTATTCTTTAGTATTATTATTATTTTGCTACCTTTTGGGCACTTTTGGGGCCCTTAACGTGCTCGAAAACTCTTGAAACTTTGCACACGGGTCAGAACCCGCGGCCATCAGAGCCAGGCTGAAGATGGTACCCGGGCGTGGCAGGGCAGCTCGTCAGCGCCCCCTGGAACGGGGTCCGAACACTTGGTCCATAACTCAAACACGCTTGTATGTAATAATATGAAACTCGGTACACACGTTGATCTCATCGTTTCATCTATACCTCGCGCTCTTACTTTTTACCCCAGCCCAACAGGAATTTGGCTATTGAGGTTTGTTTGTAAAACGCTCGCAATGGAATGTCAAATACTCCTCCTAGAGCTTTGATCCACATTCGACGAAACTCGGTCAGCGTGAAGTCAAGACATTGAGGATGAAAGTTTGCGAGGGGATTTTTTATATCTCGAACGGTTTGTCCGTGGCGAGGAAACGAAATCATGGCGAGAAACGTGAAACAGGAAGTGTGTTATAACTTCAGCATACATTAACTGATCTTGATGAAACTTCAGCAGTGTGTTCGCTGTAAGAGGACGATCACATGGATGTGACTATTGTGAGTCAAAGTTATAGCGCCACCAACTGGCAGCAGGAAGTGTGTCACTTTCAAAATGCTTAGATATCACCCTTTTATTTTTACCCGATTTGCTTCAAACTTCATATGTATAATGTAAACATACGGCAGATGTAGACCTGTGAATGGATTCTTGATATCTTTGAAACTGTTGCCGTGGCGACGCATCAAACTTTACCCTTCTTTTAGGATGCTTTTAGGATGCTTTTGAGACCCTTAGCATGCTTCAAATTGCATGAAACTCGACAGACACATCACATTTATTAGCCAGTAGACATGTGCAAAGTTGCAGAAACGGGCGTGGTGAGGGCTCAGTAGCGCCACCTTTTGACAAAAGTGGGGTGGTTAGTTTTAACTAGAGTTACAAAAATTGGTATGTATATTGTACTCCTCGAGCCGGACAACTTTCTAATTGACACTTATTAGCTAGGACCCACAGAAACTCAGATATTTTTGTTTGAATATGGCCACTCTGAGCCTTTGGTTGGCTGGCTGGCTGTCTGTGTGTGTGTGTGTGTGTGTGTGCAGGGGGAGGGGGCTTAACCATTTCACTGCTGTGTGTATGACCTGCATAAAGAAAATACATTTCTCAAGCCTGGTATTTTTTAAATAAGTTTTTATTTTTATTTTTTATAAGTAAAGGCATATAACTAGTTTAATTGTAGTGAATTGACAATAGTTTTATATAATTAGTTTATTAATCAGATTAACTTGGTCAATAAACTTGGTCTGAAAATTTGGTCCATAAATCAAACACACTTGCATGTAATAATATGAAACTTGGTACACATATAGATCTCATCGTTTCATATATACTTCACACTCTTACTTTTTACCCCAGCCCAACAGGAAGTTGGCTATTTAGGGTTGTGTTTAAAACACATGCAATGTAATTTAAATTATTGCTCCTAGAGCACTGAACCAAATTCGACGAAACTCGATCAGCGTGAAGTCAAGACATTAAGGATGAAAAAGTGCCACGGGATTTTTGATATCTCGAACGGTTTGGCCGTGGCGAGGAAACGAAATTATGGCGAGAAACATGGAACAGGATGTGTGTTATAACTTCAGCATACATTAACTGATCTTGATGAAACTTCAGCAGTGTTTTCGCTGTAAGAGACCGATCACATGGATGTGACTATTGTGAGTCAAAGTTATAGCGCCACCAACTGGCAGCAGGAAGTGTGTCACTTTCAAAATGCCGTGGCAACGAAACAAACTTTAACATTATTTTTTGATGCTTTTGGGACTCTTAGCTTGCTTGAAATTGCTTGAAACTCAACAGATACATCACATTTATTAGCCAATAGACATGTGCAACTATGGCAAAAGATTAAAGTAATGTCAAAAAAGTAAACACTAAAAGCCTCATATCTTCTAAAAATGTAATTATACATCATTTGTTTCTAAATTAAATTATACAAATATTATAACTTCCCCAATTTTTCCTTTTTTTTCATTTAAGAATTGTGTTTACGTTCAAAAACAGCCAGAATTGTTGTAAAATTCATAAAAAAATAATAATCTGAGTCATACGTAGTGCTATACTGCCCTCTTGTGTTCAATATCAGGTAGGCCTATTGTGTATATTCCCACCGGTTAATCAACGTGTGACTCCGCTGGGACTTGGGAGCTTTTAAATCGCTTACTTAAAACCGAAAGTCAAAATACGGATGTCCGCACAAGACATTAATGGTGTGGAGTAGAGCGAGCATTTTAAATAAATTCCTATTAAGTAGGATTGAACTAAACCGAAAGAATGTTCACTCTGTTCTGCTGGTTCCTCGCTGGTGGATCATATGATTACTTTGTCATAATCTATGACAAAAATGCTATTATAAACCATATTAATAATAGATAATACACATTGCTCTTATTTTTGAAAAATACATTCATGAAAAACAAGATAACAAAAATCATTAAAAAAAAATATAGCCATGGCTGCTATAAAGCAACATATAATTGAAAGGCAATTAATAATCTGTCATTACGTCACTGCATTATGATATTACGGCTCCAATACGGTGCAGCACAAAGCACTTATGTGCATCCCGAGCGGAGAATGATGTGCTTGAAGCCACATGAAGTTACAGCGCATTGAGTCCGTATTGAAAAGTTCAAAGCACAAAGGAAATACATATTTATGAACAGTGTATTATACATTATCTATCTATGCAATAGTTTATTGAGCCTTTTCTTTTAAAGGTTTTAAATTTCAGTTACTGTGTGCGTGAAGAACAATTATAGTGCTCTGACTCTAGTGTTGTGATCTAACCGACAGCGTCCGACACCCGGTAGAAAGTAACACGATTAAGTTACAGCAATAAAGTCCAGCAAGAAAAAGTTTCTTCATTCGAAAATATAGACCTTTAGACCTTTATCTTAAAGATCCAGTATAATAGGATTAACATTGAATCATTGAAGATCGTTTCATCATTGACTGTAACCGAATGTGACGTGCTGTTTGAATGCTGAATGGAGAATGACTGACAGGCGCAGAGAGGGAAAAGTTTGTGTTCTTGGAATTTAATGACTTAAATATTAATTTCTATATCACATAATAGCTTCAGAACACTAATAATACAGTACACAAAACTTTATGGTACTTTAGAAAGTTTTTGTGCCTTTGTGCCTAACAGAATAGTACAAACCCAATTCCATAAAAGTTGGGACACTGTACAAATTGTGAATAAAAACAGAATGCAATGATGTGGAAGTTTCAAATTTCAATATTATATTTAGAATACAACATAGATGACATATCAAATGTTGAAAATGAGACATTTTGAATTGCCATGCCAAATATTGGCTCCTTTTAGATTTCATGAGAGCTACAAATTCCAA